ATTGAACACTTAGATACATTATATGGCCAAAAGTTTGCGGAAACCCCTTCTAATTACTGAGTCCAGGTGTTTAACCACAGCCATTGCTAACAGGTGTATAAAATCAAGGACACAACCATGCAGTCTCCACAAATAAACAATGGGAGTAGAATGGGTCACACTGAAAAGCTCAAAGACTTTGTAAAGTGTCATACGATGTGAAACTGTCATACGATGCCACCTTTGCTACAAGTGCTACAGGTTTGTGAAATTCTGCCCTGCTAGATCTGCCCCAGTCAACAGTAAGTGTTGCTATGGTGAAATGCAAGTGCCTAAGAGCAAAAACAGCTCAGCCACAAAGCGGTAGATCACACAAACTCACTGAGTGTAGCTGCTGAGCGCTGAAGCTTGTAGTGTGTTAAAATCATTAAAATCCACAGTTGCAAAACTCACTATAAAGTTCCAAACTGCCTCAGGAAGCAACAACAGCACAGGAACTGTGCATAGAGGGCTTCATGGAATGGTGTAATCTTCATGGCTGAGCAGTACCACACAAGTCTAAGATCACTATGTGCAATGCTAAGCATTGGCTGGAGTGATGTAAAGCACGCTGCCACTGGATGTTGGAGCAGTGGAAATGTGTTCTCCGAAGTGATGAATCACGCTTTACTATCTTGGATCTTTGATGTACAAATTTGCGTTTGGTGGATGCCAGGAGAACACTACCTACTGGAATACATAGTGCCAACAATAAAATTTGGTGGAGGAGGGATAATAGTACAGGGCTGTTTTTCAGGGTTTAATGTTGATGCTACAGCATACAAAGACATTTTAGACAATTATATGCTTCCAATTTTGTAGTAAAGGTTTGGGGAAGGCCCTTTCCTGTTCCAGCATGATAGTGCCTCTGTGCACATAGCAAGGTCCATAAAGACATGGTTTGACCAGTTTGTTGTGGAGGAGCTCCACTTGCCTGCACAGAGCCCTGACCTCAACCCCAATGAACACCTTTAGAGTGAATTGAAATGTTGATTGCGAGCCAAACCTTCTTGTCCAAAATCATTGTCTGACCTCACAAATAAATTTTTGATGGAATGGACACAACTTCCCACAGACATACCAAATTTAGTGAAAAGCCTTTCCAGAAGAGTGGAGGCTGCTATAGCCACAAAGGGGGGCCAACTCCATGTTAATGCAGATAGTTTTGAAATTAAGATGTCCAACAAGCTCGTGCGAGCATAATGATCAGGTGTCCACATTCTTGTAGCTATGTGGTGTACTTATAACTCACTTTAAATATACTTAATTCTCTTTCGGTACTTTTGGAAGGTACTGCTAATGGGACCCATGTCTAATTTAGAAGTGAACCAGAAGCCTGAAATGTGAGGCTTCATTATAACTAGAAAAGCTAACATTCTCTGACTCCACTTGAAAGAGAGTGGTTGTGAGTCTCACAGGACAATACAATAGAGGACGTCTGTCTGGTTTCCACCTATATCAGATAACAGATTACACTAAACCAAAACATGCCAGTATCACTTCAGTGATGTTCTGTAACTGGTTTAGGTGGTGTGCAAAAATATATTCATGTTTGTGTCCCTTCTTTCACAAGGTTATAGCTGTAAAGAGAAAAACAACCCAGATTAAACAACTTAGATGTGGGATTTTTCCAGAAAGCAGCTGACTCAGCTGACTAGTTTTGTGTAACCTGTAATTTGTTAACTCATGATTTGTTGTCACCAACACAGCCACTCAAATCTGCTTAAAGCTCAGAGCTGTTAGATTCCAGAAATTTTAGTGTCCGCTCCAATTCCAAATGACAAGAATCAACGGAGTTGATTCCACACAACAATCCCAATTCCCAAATCCAAGACAGAGAGATGGATATCTGGATAAAAAAAGAATATAATCTTATTTACATTTGATATCAGCAAAGAATCAAAGAAATCTGGATCGCTAACACTGGCTACCTTAACTTGGCTGAATAAAAACAAAACAAGCACAACATTGTTTCAGAAGAAACTCACCTAAATGGTTACACAACTACTGACCATCATGGAAAAACGCAAACCTTTGTGGAATGTGCTGAAGGGTGAATCTCATGCTTTGTTGTTCCTAGTCATGTAACTATTTCGCTCAGGTGCGTAGAGTTGTCTAAACTCATACGCAAGAACAGTTTCTGTTCCGTCTGTGAAATTTCCCAAAACAACGAGTAGACGTAAGCAGCAGGATAAAAACTACCTAAGTACCAAGTAACTTACAGACCTGCAGCAGAGCCCTGTTAGCACATCCAGCATCTATCAGCACAGACACTGGCACTTGTTAGAAGCTATTCTTCTTTTATTGGGATCCTCTTAGTCTAAAATAAATAAAATGCTTAAAGCTCAAAAGTGAGAGATGTGAGCAACTGCAAAGCAGTACAGATGCTGTCACCACATAACATAATAAAATCAAACACAGAAAAGTAATTTTTAGGTGCATATACTTTTAAACTTTTAGCTTTGAAAAAGTCTAGTCAAAAGTTTTTTGTGTTGTCCCACATTCATGCTTGCCATAATGAAAGCATTTTTTTAACATAATAGCATCTGTGATGTGTAGATAGTGTTCCAAGATCATCCAGATTTTGCTCAGTGGCGGTGAGTGAAGATGAGGTCACTGCAAAGTTTTTAGAGTTAAAGATTTCCCTTATGATAGTCTCATATATGGACACGTTTCAAGCTTTTTTTTAAATTGCATCTTTCTGTGCATCAATTTTTTAATTCAGGCCAAAGAAAATAAGATCTTTCAGTGACATCCAAGAAAACAATACCAGACAGCACAGTTAACCATACACAAACACTGGGTTCTGCCAACTTGCATCAACAAAAAGAAAATGGAACACCCGCCAGCAGTTTAGCTCTTTGTCATTTTCTTTGCTTTAAGCTGCACTATGTATGATTTTTGTTGTTAAAACTGAAAGAAGCAACACTACCAAGTCAAAATAAACACGCTAATATTTGGTGTGCATATGCTGCTGTAAGTCACCCTACAAAGTCTGAAATAATAGTTTAAAAGTCAAAGACCTCAGGTCAGATTTCAAGTTTTTGGACCACATCATAAGTCTTTACGTATTAATGCCACATGCACAGATTCAAAAAGAAGTTCCGGCTTATGTTTAGGTCTCAAATGCAAAATTAACATTATACTGATGAAGACATGCTGACAATAGTAGATAATTCACTTACATCCTCAGAAGACATATCCTTGACCAACTTTGGAGTTCTCTTTGAATATTTTTTCAAAATGCTTCCTAACAATCAAATTCATCCAATTGGGGAAGGGGTCCGAAGGACAAATGCTTTTCTACATATTTTTCCATGCAATTATATATTTCCACCAGAGAGGTCTCCAAATCTCCAAACTTACATAGTGCAGTTTTAAAACCTTAAAGGAAAATTTCTGCGTATTTAAATCAGTGATATGTAAAGTCATTCAGAGAGGTTTGATGTGAAATTCTTCATTCTAGACAAACTTACAAAGTCAGACCGGTTCACAGTGGTGATAGGAACCAGACATCTAAAGCATTTCATCTCCAAGTTTCCTCACAAAGTAATTATACAAATTGGCTAAAAAATGTGCTGCCTTATGTCTGAAATATTGTTTTATAATTCTTTGGAGATAAGGTTTTGACAAGAAACCTATTTTTAAAAAGACATTCATGGCAGAGTTCCCCAAAGAAAACATATTTTTTGGTTATTATTTTACCCTTATCCACATTAGATCTAAAACCCAGGTGACGGCCCAGAAGAAACAATGTAAACGTATGCGTTTGTATACGTTTTTCTTGTGTTTACTTTTAGAAAGTTTGAGCTTCACACAATACAGTGTATAAGGAGTGGCTGAGCTATAAAAAGAACTGCGACTAACTAGTCAGGAATGGACTCCACACAACTTGCTTTCGAAATTCAGTTTCTTGTGAACCCCTAAGAAAAATGTTTCACCTAATTTTTTTCCATGGCACTCAGTAGATATGAATCCAATTAAGTGAACTGTGGGTGACACAAGAATGAGAATGTAATGGTTCCCAGCAATAGTCAAGGTCATCAAACTATCAAAAACATCAGACGTTTAAATGTCTAGCCATCACATCAGTTTCTTTTTTTCTTTTTTTTTGTGTGAATTAATATTCTTGATATTTTTCTTTTTTGGGAAACATCCCAAGTTCACATTTATTTTTCCTCCCTAACTGTTGTAATTTTTCTCCATGTTCAGACGTACACTTCATGCTTATTAAAGTGTGTTTGTAACCATGTAAATTTTGCCATGTTCAATATTCACATATGAAACAGGGAATATTTGACTGGATTTATTAGATTATCATTAAACTCATTTGTATTTCTTAGGAGGAATTCTACCAAGTTTTTGCTCCATCCTAGAGAAACCGGAGTCAGAATTGTTCACAGTGGTGGGGATGGGAACCAGACCAGCCTGAAGAACTCAATGTCTCTAAAAGTTACCACACACAAAGTTATTCGTTTTGAGAAAAAACATTTTTTAAAACACATTCAAAATAGAACTCCTATTTCTCCTCATTAACATGTAAAAACTCCACATGTTTAGGTTCACTGCTCATTTTTGATAGTAAATAAAATGGCAACAATGACATCATAACATGGCAACCTCTGGTTTTCTTCAGCACTGTTGTAAAGAAAGTCAATAAGCTTCTCTCAAAAGCACCACATCAAACCACTCTGAACTCTGAATTTATTTATATCTCAGTGTTTAAATGATGCACAAACTGGTGAAATCCTAAAGAACAGAAATAAAGCGGAACTTTTAAAACTTAATTCAGGCTCATTAGCAAGACCCTAGTTGCAAGTTACTTCCTTAAACGCCACTTGGTTAACATTTCAAACATATCGCATATAAAACAAGCACCGTATCCTGTAATAATAGTGCCACCAAGAGGCTCACACTGTGCCTCCAATGAAAACATTTCAAGCTTATCATGGAGTAAGAAAAGCATGGTAAAAACAGGTAGATAAAAATATACTGTCATTTTTAATCATTGTAACTTCAGTCAAAAGCAAAATAATTACCCAGAGCACAAAACAGCATTCAGAATACATTATCTCCGTTGTAAAAAAGTTATGTTATATGATAATATGAGCTACAGGTAATTGGTGTCTGAGATGAATTCAATGTATCTTGGCCTGCTTTATCCTGCCTCTTGAGTTATCTTCCTCCTTGCTAAATTACATTCCAAACCTCATCTAGCAGACCTTATTCTTCAGAAAGACTTCTGTATTTAGAGCATGTGTCAGAAAAGATACCTAAAGGTCAGAAGGGGCACAGTTGGGTGCCTCTGATGTACGCTAAAGCAGACATTTTGACAACAAATCCTACTTTTCGACTGTATGTTAAAAATTATTTTCTTCTTCATTTATAGGATTATAGCTCCTAACAGGAATCACTGCAACAGACTTGACATTAAATGCTCTCCTTCACAGAAACCCCTCATCTTAATGTAGCATCCAAGGAGTTTTCAGTGGAACAAAAATAAATGTAAACACATTTTACAATAGATTTCTATACATTTTTTGAAAGGCAGTCTCACAGATGTAATTCTGGAATTATTATTAATAATTATATAAGAAAATCATGTATGCCCTTGCTGAGTGAAAATATCACCAGCCATTTAGCTGCACAAAGAATACCTACAAATCCAGTGACAGTGGTCCAGAAGTGATGTACCTCTAGCTATGGGCTATCAGCCTTCACAGCCATGCTTTTCGATTGTCTGCTCTGCAGCCACTGGCAGAATGAGATGGGAGATTCTACTCCAAAGCCCACTCAGTTTGTCTACATCCATCTGGTTAAACGTGGCTATCCTGTCAGAGGAAACAAACTTATCCTTCAGATACTCTTGCACCTTCTCCTCCACCACATTCAGACTCAGTTCAGAGTCTAGTTCATCCACCGGAAGCAGCACAGTGAATACTAAGAAGACGTTCTTATAAGCGGCATTCTCGTGGTCGCAGTAGCGGTAGAAGATCAACGTGGACCCAGGAGGAAGTTCCTCAAAGCGGTGGATAACAGCAGCTTGCTTACCACCATCAAAAGCCTCTCTCAGCGCTCTATCAATGTCCAGCTTCACCTGATCACTGTTGTGAGCCGTTTTGCTGGCCCCGTCAATGTCCACCACAGAGGTGTTGAGGGCAGCAGAAAAGGCTGCTGCTAAACGTTGTGCCAAGCAGCCTAGCGTCTTCTCAGCCTTACGACCAGCAGTCAAGAGCATACTTACGGGCTGACTAGGGTCATTCAGTTTAAGGTGTTGTTTTAGATGGATCTCACTTCTTTTCCACAGCTCGGAATGCTGACTTGGGAAAAGAGGCTTTAGTGCAGCTAACTGGGCGTCAAAATTTGCACTGGACACCATTTTGTCTTGGTGCTGTGTTGTTTTGGTGGGAAAGGATGCGGCTGGAAGGTGCTGATAACCCAGTAAGCCTAAAGTAAGTGAGGCCAGCAAGAAAAGAGCCCACTGAAGAGATCTGCACACATACCATACATACCCTGTGGAGAAAAAAAATGAAGTTACCATGGTATCATCAATCTCAGCCTGAAGAAAACAAAATGATTCTGTTGGAATGAAGGAAAGTACCTTTTGAGTAGCTTGCTGAAGATGCTTTTGTGGTGACCGGTTTCTTTAATTCTTCAGGAGATGAAAAACAGAGATGTTAAATAGAAAATAAAAAATACTACCCCTTCTTTTTGTTCATTTCAAAATTCTCCCTCCACTACACATGGGAAAGTGTGGCACAACTTAACACATTTTGTTTACTGCTAAATAATTTTACAAGTATTTGAGCAAGATGGAGAATTTCAATAAAAACAACTGGCAAATCACTGCTACAAATGAAATTGTAGAGTAGTGCACAATTCAGCCAAAAGCAGAGTGAGTCCAAATGTTACAACTTAGCCCAAAGGTCAGGGTTAACTGTAACAGATGCTAAAAAGTCTGAGCAATCGATGCAAACACAATTAATTCAGTATGGTTCTATGTTGTTTGAACTAAATAAGCTTTGCAATGTAAATATATAAAAATATATAAATTTGACTACTGAAAAGAAGCTCAATGTGGCAAATTTACTTTTGATTACAAAGTATAAGAGCTTATATGTAAGTGATTCAATTTCAGTTTTATTACATCTGTTGATGACTCTGTGAATGAAAAGTTTAAAAATTTGAATTTTGAATTTATATGGGGCGACTTCCAGAAGCATTTAGGACATCCCACATCGCACAATACCTCTAGCTTGCTGCCATGTCTTTTCATACTTGACGCAACACCCAAGAACACCATAGCTCTGAATGTTTAGAGGAGAGTGCTAACTGCCCAATTCTGAGAACATGTGCTAACAGATGCCCTTTGTTTTAGCTACCATCTCTCAGAGTTGGCAAGGAAAGAACTCCGGAGCCCTTTTGAATTTCTGGCCATGGATGTGGCTTTGCCGGATATCATTCTGAGCAGGGAATCAAACCTCATTTTTCCGAGCAGGGAATCAAACCTCAGTCTGTTGTATGGAGGGCACCGGTGTTGCCACTACACTATACCAACCACCAGATTTCCTACGATGTTTATCTAGCACACAGAACAAAAGATATAAGATGACTACCTGCATTTCTGTGTTGCAGGGGTTGTTTTTTAGCAGGAATGACATTTGTCTGGGGGATGCGTTTCATTGGACCTTCTGAGTAAGGATACCTGTCCCAGTTCTGAAGGCCAGCACTAGAAACATCTAAAATAAAAGAATAACAATACTGGTCATACAAATTAAAAGAAATTGGGAAAGACACATAAAAAGAAGCCACTAAGACTACAAATAACAAACTATACAACTTTTGCAAAGCCTAACCTTTGGCTTTTTCCTCCATTTTGTTATGGTATCGTCTTATACTGCTCCTCGTTGTCAAAAACTCCTGCCTGTTCTCCGGTGGTCTGACAAGGGTAGAAGCAGGGCTTGTTCTAGAAGTCTCTACAGAAAAAACAGAATGACCATGAAAAAATAAATCCTTCATTTAACAGAGTATGGTATTTTAGAAATTCACGTTAGCAAACCTTTAGACAAAGTCTGAGAACCAGAAGTCGTGTCTTGTCCCCCTATGACTTTGGGCGGCTTTGGGCGATGCTCTTGCATCCTTTGGCTCCACAAGAACGTCTTCATTTCTTCTGTTTCCAAATTGCCAACGCGTACAGTTCTGATGATACTTTGCTCCTCAATGACAGGCTCTGCTGGGAAACATACAAATGAGTAACTGAATCCCTGACTCTCTAACAGATGTCTCTGACTGAATTAATTATCTTTCACTATAAAGTGGTGACATCTTACTCCTCATGGTCGCCTCACAACTTTCCCTTTCATCCTCTGAGCTCATGTCTTGTTCCTGGTCAGTATGCCCAGCTGCATCCATTTCCACTGTCATACTTTCATCCCCATTTTCATGTCCATTTTCTGCACCCTCTCCCACCTGTAGCCTTGAAATCTTACCTGGCGACCCTGTTTCTGCAATTAAAAAAAAATCGGTTTAAATAGTTAAAAAAAAAAAAACACCAACATGAAGAAATTATAGATTTAGGTCACCTTATTACAACTATGATAGGTCATGAAATAAATCAGGTGCTGAACCTACAATCATAAAACAACAAATCTTAATTTTGTAAGGAAATTTTCAGCCTTCCCAGATATAAATTGTATGTCCAAAAGTTTGTTCAACATTTCTTCCGAAATCAGGGGTATTCCCCTTCTTTGCTGTGAGGATTTGATTGCATTAACCACAACACTATTAATGGGGCCAGGATGAACAAACACCACTCCAACTCATTCTAAGGTATTTAATCACTGCTCCACAGCCTAATGCTGGGGGACTTTATACTCTCTCGCTGACACTTGGCATTAGGCATGATGACCTAATGCTCATGTGCATCCTATTCTATAAGCAATGCTTTTCTATGAAAATTACACAAGCTGTGTCTGCACAACTGAACACCCATGTCAGGAATGGATGCACCTTAAAGGAGCTGAATTCACTCTCTAGTAGGGGCGTCTGGACACCTTTGGACATATACGACAGGTTAAGAAAGGCAGGTGCTGAACCCATAATTCAATCTTTTCACACAGATGTACCTTCATCTTCAGCATCACTGTCCTTTATTTCAGATCCTCTGACCGCGTCCTTCTCCACTGCTCGCTTCCGCTTCAGAGCGCTTCTGGCTCTCACATCAGCACCAAACACAACTAACGGAACAAGGAAAACTTTGTGAAATTTATTTTTAAATTTATCTCAAACAATATTGCCAAATAATATATGAGGGAGAAAACAACATTGAGTTTGGGGGTGTTTGGTTTTATTTTCTAAAACCCCCATCACTTCTGCAGATCACGGAGCAAAAACGAAACTAACTTCATTAACTAGAAATCTGAACAACTTCAGCTAAACAACCACCGCCGAGCCCATTCAAACGGCTTTAACGACGGACTGAAATGAGTTCTGTTAATACAGTGAGGTTAAATCTATAAAGGCTGCTTATTTTGTACCAGTTAACCGAACTATTTGAAAAACAGCGAAACTGCAAAGTTCGGTAAGTTAATGAACGCACTAAACCTGTAAGCTAACTAGGTTAGCTAACTTAGCTAGCTGAAGTCAAACACCGCAATTATAATCTTTCTGCAAACAAACCGTTTTTATGCGCTTGTCTGGTGCTTCTCCTTGGCGGGTTCGCATAATCTCCTTTAGAATCGATAGAATCCATTTGTTTATATCATATCAGAACAAACTGAATAAAACTTGAACTCCTTCCGCCTCCACTAACAGGGAAAAGGGAAACGAAAGAATGTTGTCCGACGGACACATTTGCGTGAACACCACTGTCCGGAAACAATACGGAACAAAGATATTTAAAGAGCGTTTACGACCGAGAGGTTCTACTTAATGACCATTTGCTCAGGCAGTGATGTTTGGGTTTGGAACGGTCGGTGTGGATCAAGGAGACCGAAAACGGCATGGCGTCTGTGATCCAAACCAGGTATTTCACCTGAAAACTCTTCGGGTGAATAATCTCCACTGAATAGTCTTTGCAGTGGACGCTGGTTGGTCTAATCTCAAATAAACAGATAGAGTAGCAACTTACTGTTCAAAATTTGGCCTAATAGTCACAAATCAAATGTACAAAGTTTATTACGGAGTAAAATTAGGTTTAACCGTCACATTTCTATCATGCAAAATGAAACTATTCTTGTATGTTTCTGAACAACTTCTATTCATAAAAGTGGGATTTATGTGTGACATTCTCCACTCAAGTGCACATGTATATAGTTCATGGGAAAATATTAGAGAGGCACATTGATATCAGAATCAGTATCAACATAAATTATAAGCATTGGACAGATGTTTAGATATGATCAATACTTTAAACCTATAACTGATGCATTATTGTACTCCAGAATAACAGAACCTTTAGACAACACTGGGCTAATGTGCAAAAAAAGCCTGAATTTTGAAATGCACACTTTTCTCTGTATAGAAATAAGCATCTTACAGATATTTGGGTGGTTCTTAACTTTTGACCTGTAATCTGCTGAGCTGCTTTCTTAACTTGACCTTTGCCCAGAATAAGCAGTGTAACTATGTATGACCACACACTAAAACACAGGCCAATTTTCTAATAAAGTACTTAAACCAAACCATATAAAACATTCTGAAAATGGCTTTCAGATAATAGTTCCACTGTTAAACTATTAGTTATTTAGATATCAAATCTTGGAATAAGCAAGAGGCTGTAACTAAGTGTTAGGCGCAACAACTTAAAAACAGCAACTCTTAAGTTTAAACAAAAGACAGAGAAAGAAACTGTGCTGTAAATGTGCTCAATCAGTGAATTAATATGAGACAGTATCTTAATAATATAACTTGACATTTTATTAACAAATAAATTAGAGATTTTTAATAGCTGGGATACATACATACATATATTACAAGAGACTACTGTAACCAAGGTTAGTTTTTGGTTTTGGCAGTACTCTCATGTTACATAATTGTAAAAGTCTTGCAACATACTTAATGGAATGCATCAAGGGCCCCACCCCATCTTACCAAAAAACAGAGAAGCCAATCCCACTTTATACTTCTACTATAAACAAATATTTAACACACATGGTTGTAAAGTGTTTTGAATGTATTTAAGGCACATAATTTAATACCTATAAAGCTGCATTCATTAATTTGCCTCACAAATGTGGAATCAACATTATTAAACAAGCATCCAGTGGAATCAACATTAGATAATCAACTAGCTTTAATTTATGTTTTCATAAATCCTAATCAAGGCTAAATTTACGTTCTAAAAATGTTATGTTAAAAATTTCGTTTTATTTCAAAACTACTTATGCCAGCTTTGTCACTCTACAAGTACTTGTATCCAAGTCACTGTAGGCTGATTTTCTGTACAAAGACTGAACCTACCGCTGCTATATTAAAATGTTTTCAGTGGATAGTTTACATTTTGATTTAACCGCACATAAAGCTTAATTTGTCAAGTGAGGTGCACGTAAGTTCTTGTGATATTGCATATCATCATAAAGAAATTCAAAAGCCTCTCTCTCTTTCCCTCTCACACAAACAGAGATTGTACTATCCGAACAAGAACTGAAAGGTATTGAAAGAGAAAGATAAGTAGGTTCCTTGAGAACTTTCACCAAAAATATGGTTTAGTTGCTCAACTTTGTGCAAAGCAAGTCACCCTGATCCTCCACAGCCATGCAGTTCGATCTTCTGTTCGGCAGCCACTGGCAGGATCAGATGGGAGATTCTGCTCCAAAGCCCACTCAGTTTGTCTACATCCATCTGGTTAAACATAGCTGTCCTGTGAGAGGAAACAAACTTCTCTTTCAAATACTCCTGAACGATCTCCTCCACCATCCCCAGGCTAACGTTAGGTAGCACTTCCAGCTCTTCCTCCAGCAGCACAGTGAAAGCCAAGAAGACATTCTTGTAAGCGGCGTTCTCGTGGTCACAGTAGCGGTAGAAGATCAACGTGGACCCAGGAGGAAGTTCCTCAAAGCGGTGGATAACAGCAGCTTGCTTGCCAGCATCAAAGGCCTCTCTCAGCGCTCTATCAATGTCCAGCTTTACCTGGTCACTGTCTTGAGCCATTTTGCTGGTTCCATCAATGTCCAGGGCAGAGGTGTTCAAAGATGTGGAAAACGCTGCAGCTAATCGTTGAGCCAAGCAGCCAAGTGTCTTCTCAGCCCCACGTCCAGAGGTCAAGATTAGGCTCACTGGCTCGCTTGGACGGCTCATCTGGAGGTGCCTCTGGAGGTGGATTTTGCTTCTCCTCCATAGTTCTTTGTGTTGGCTGGGGAAGCTGGACTGAACTTTGTCCATTTCATGACGGAACACATCCAACAGGTTAAACTCTTTTTGCACAGGTGGGGGCTCAGGTCTCAGAAACCAACATACCACGACAGCAAGCACAGCAACAAATGAGGCACCAATCAGGATGAATTCTGTGTGAGAGAAAAATAATGAGTCTGTTGTACTTCTGAAACTCAAAGTACTGTGCAGAAGTCAGAGACTACCTATCATTTATTTAATTTCCAATATAAATAGCCATAAATTTGCTCAGCGCATCAGATTTTTTTAAAGAGCCATTTAAACTACATAAAAACTAAATATATTTCAGGAAATGTGTTTTCCTTCTGGGTAATCTTGTAATGCTTGCAATACTGTGTAAGGTTCCCTTTGGCCTAAGTTAGGGACATTCCATCAAATTTCATCATTTTGGCATAATTCAAATGCTTGATATATACAAATACAGTCATTTTTATTATCCAAAATTATCAGCTTTACATGTAACATTGATAATGGTAAAATAGTGGTAAATCTGAAAAACCTTTTTTCATAAAATTGCATGTACTTGCACCATGAATACACTTGAGAATGAAAACTTCTCAAAACAATTAACATATACCATCTCAGACATCAGGCAACATAGCTGTAATGTAATTCATGCATTAACTTTGTGTGATGTACAGTATCTCACAAAAGTGAGTACACCCCTCACATTTCTGCAAATATTTTATTATCTTTTCATGGGACAACACTATAGAAATGAAACTTGGATATTACTTATAGTAGTCAGTGTACAGCTTGTATAGCAGTATAAATTTACTGTTCTCTGAAAATAACTCAACACACAGCCATTAATGTCTAAATAGCTGGCAACACAAGTGAGTACACCTCACAGTGAACATGCCCACATTGTGCTCAAAGTGTCAATATTTTGTGTGACCACCATTATTATCTAGCACTGCCTTAACCCTCTTGGGCATGGAATTCACCAGAGCTGCACAGGTTGCTACTGGAATCCTCTTCCACTCCTCCATGATGACATCACAGAGCTGGTGGATGTTAGACACCTTGCGCTCCTCCTCCTTCCGCTTGAGGATGCCCCACAGGTGCTCAATTGGGTTTAGGTCTGGAGACATACTTGGCCAGTCCATCACCTTTACCTTCAGCAAGGCAGTTGTCATCTTGGAGGTGTGTTTGGGGTCTTATTGAGTTGGAAAACTGCCATGCGGCGCAGTTTCCGAAGGGAGGGGATCATGCTCTGCTTCAGAATGTCACAGTACATGTTGGAATTCATGTTTCCCTCAATGAACCCCAGTGCTATGAGGTGCCATGTTGAATATCCAGTGGCCAGTATGAGCAAATTGTACCCAAAACACCAAGTTTAACAGCCCTGCTCCCCATTCACACCTGGAACCTTGTAACTCTAACAAGTCACATGACACCAGGGAGGGACAGTGACACAATTGGGCACAATTTGGACATGTTCACTGTGAGGTGTACTCACTTGTGTTGCCAGCTATTTAGACATTAATGGCTGTGTGTTGAGTTATTTTCAGAGGACAGTAAATCTATACTGCTATACAAGCTGTACACTGACTACTTTAAGTCATATCCACGTTTCATTTCTATAGTGTTGTCCCATGAAAAGATATAATAAAATATTTGCAGAAATGTGAGGGGTGTACTCACTTTTGTGAGATACTGTAGCTTTTAGAGACACTAAACACTTCAATGTCTGGTTCCTACCACTGTGAACAACTCTGACTCAGTAGGTTTCACTAGAACAAAGCTTTTCATATTACACTGCTCTGTGTGTCTTTGCTTACATTTTAAAGCTTTAATTAGACAGACATGCTGAAACATCTGTGGAATTTTGCTGTTAAAGAAAAGCAGAACAGAGCAAAACCATCCAAGCCATGTCTGTTTTGCAGGACATTCTTTTAGCATAGAAGTACAGCACTAAGGATCATTAACTTTATTAATGCAAAATTAAATATCATTGTGATACTGTGATTCCCCAGGGAAAATATTGTGAATTTTTGTCAATATCGCTCAGCAGTGTGCAAAATACCCCTGTATTTGGGGAGTCCTATCTTGGCTGGCTACCAGAGCACTGGCTAGCAACTAACACACTTGCCATAGCAGCGCTGATGGTAGTTTCAATGGCAACAAAATGATTTTGTTGTCATTGAAATTGGTGTCAACAATTTTTATTTTTTGGAGAGGCTCTTTTCTAGAATGTAAAGCAGCCTTCCACACAGTAACTGAGTTCTTACACACCTTCTTCTCTGTCTTCAGTTTGAGAGATGACTAACTATTCACTTTTTCCACCGGTCTCTTGTGAAATCAGATATGTTTTCAGATTTACAAATACACTATGGCATGCTATAAAGTTTTTCAGAGGTATCCCAGGCATAGTTACAGATGCTTGGTTACAAAGGACAAACTGGGGGAACCAATTTCCAACAGCACCACCCTGAGGCAGACCAGTGCTGTATCTCTACTTAGTTAAGAACACCAAAGACAGAAGCTGGCTGGATTGTGGGTGAAGCAGATAAACAATGTCCTCTCCCTGAATTTGTATTTGAGTGTCTGTTTTTCCCTAGTGGACAGCAAAATTACATGTTTCTTTTCGGGGACACCCTAGAATTTCGATTTTGAGATATTTAGGGGATCCAAGAGGTTAATTGTATTTCACACCTTGTCACTCAGCACTACTTACTGTATGTGACAAGGTCAGAGACAATACTTACTCTTGTGGTGAGTGTCTTGAGTCTTGACAGAGGGTGGCCGTGTTTCCTTTTTATCCAGGCAAGGAGAGTCACCTTCACCACTATGTTCTTCTGCAGACCTTTCATGTTCTTCCTTTTTTATTGAGCATCTCCTTTCTGTGTTTTCACACAGAACAAGGGCAAAACAGTGGTAAATCTAATTTTCCCTACAACGCCACACATGTATCTATGAATGGGTTTTAGCAATATGTTTTAGGCCAAAACCTTCTAAAAACTAACATAAAACAATGCCCCAGACATCAGGCAGTGTATCTGTAACCACTTTACATAAAACCTTTCTTTGATGTACCTTTTAGATGCATTAAACTATTCAGATGTCTGCTTCTCATCACCACCACTAAGAGCAATTCTGACTCTTCTGATATTTCTCTAGAATGGAGGATTTCACAGGAGACTACTCTGAATGACTTTGTTTACATCTTAATAAAATGATGCACAAATTTTGAAAAATAAGCAGAATTACCCTTTAATTGAAAGGGAATCTAAGTATGCATTTTTGGGATGGTGTGGTGGAGTACAAAAACGTAAAGGCAAACGGAACTCACTTTTTGAAATTTCACCATTTTCAGGGCTCTCGTTTGTGGCAAGGTCCTCTCCTTCTCCATCTAATTGATGGCCTCCAGCTCCATCTGTCAATTAAAAGATTTTTTTCTTTACGTTTATTATTGCTACTGTTTATTTTTGGAAGGCAAGTGAGTGTGTGATGGATTTATATAAAGGCAAATGCAATACTTGAAATCATTTGATGCCAAAATCTGTGTAATATTCAATGCTAAATTATGTTAGATACCTCCTTTGCCCTCCTTCTGCATGTTTCCCAATCCTTCATCATTGTGTATAGGCTGCTTAGTGTCCTCTCCTGTGTCAAAGGTATGACATCACAAATTAAAAAGAGAAAATGTTATTTTATGCAGACATCACATTCATAATGTTGAGTGGAAGATAAAGTTAAGGATTTTTTTCCAAACTCAATGTCACTTGAGCTGAAATTGAAATCTTACTCAATGCAACATTGTGTTATGGTAGAGATATATGTCCAGTAAGACAATACACTAAACAATAGTCACCTTCTGTAATTTCCTCTTGTAGGCTTTCCATTTCTGGGTTTACTTGTGGTGAAATAAAGCTTTCCACAGAAAGCGTAACCTCATCCTGACCTTCTTCATCCTTGCCTTTCAAGTCGTAGACAACAGCATTTAAGTGCAGATTCAAACAAGAGGGTACTGTTCATTTTTTATTCATATAATAGTGTGGTCCATTACAGTTTTTTCATTTTACAGATTTTCATCACAAATAGTATCAACATAACAGCTTAAGAGACAAGTCGAATATTTGAATGTTTATATGTATATATTGTAAATGTGGTGGGAAATTTGTTAATCGTAGAAGTTTGACGACATGCTTCTCATCACCACCACTAAGAGCAATTCTGACTCTTCTGATATTTCTCTAGAATGGAGGATTTCACAGGAGACCACTCTGAATGATTTTGTTTACATCTTAACAATAAAATGATGCAGAAATGTTAAAAAATAAGCAGAATTACCCTTTAATTGAAAGGGAATCTAAGTATGCATTTTTGGGATGGTGTGGTGGAGTACAAAAACGTAAAGGCAAACGGAACTCACTTTTTGAAATTTCACTATTTTCAGGGCTCTCATTTGTGGCAAGGTCCTCTCCTTCTCCATCTAACTGATGGCCTCCAGCTCCATCTGTCAATTAAAAGATTTTTTTCTTTACATTTATTATTGCTACTGTTTATTTTTGGAAGGTGAGTGTGTGATGGATACATATAAAGGCAAATGCAATACTTGAAATCATGCGATGCCAAAATCTGTGTAATATTCAATGCTAAATTATGTTAGATACCTCCTTTGCCCTCCTTCTGCATGTTTCCCAATCCTTCATCATTGTGTATAGGCTGCTTAGTGTCCTCTCCTATGTCAAGGGTATGACATCACAAATTAAAAAGAGAAAATGTTTTTTATGCAAAGACATCACATTCATAATGTTGAGCGGAAGATAAAGTTAAGGATTTTTTTCCAAACTCAATGTCACTTGAGCTGAAATTGAAATCTTACTCAATGCAACATTGTGTTATGGTAGAGATATATGTTCAGTAAGACAATACACTAAACAATAGTCACCTTCTGTAATTTCCTTGTGTAGGCTTTCCATTTCTGGGTTTACTTGTGGTGAAATAAAGCTTTCCACAGAATGCGTAACCTCATCCTGACCTTCTTCATCCTTGCCTTTCAAGTCGTAGACAACAGCATTTAAGTGCAGATTCAAACAAGAGGGTACTGTTCATTTTTTATTCATATAATAGTGTGGTCCATTACAGTTTTTTCATTTTACAGATTTTCATCACAAATAGTATCAACATAACAGCTTAAGAGACAAGTCGAATATTTGAATGTTTATATGTATATATTGTAAATGTGGTGGGAAATTTGTTAATCATAGAAGTTTGACGACATGTTACTTCTAATGTTTTCCAGTCTAAATACTTAAACTACTTCTAGCTATAATAAATGCTGTTTAAACATTTCTGCATAATTAAATCACAGAAAAGTAAACAAAGTCAATCAGTGTGTTTTTAGTGAAATAGTAAGTTGTGCAGAAACATACTGACTTAGATCTCATTGTTGGTGACAGAAACCAAGGGTTGCAATGTCTACAAAAACGAGTCTATAGCCAATTTATTTACTATCCAAAACCACCAGTAAACCTACAGGTGTCTTCTGAGTTTTATGCAATGTTGATAATGGAAAAATAGTGGGAAATCTGAAAAACAATTTTTTCTTTGAGGACTGTTTTGCCTTAAAAAACCCTGCATGTCATTTTCCACCATGAATGGACGTTTTAGGCCAAAACTTTACCACAAAACTAGCGTAGAATTTGCGTAGAGGTATTGCATTCCTAACCATTCTGAGAAGTAGCTGTAAATGAGGCAGCTTTTAGAAGCATTCTGGCTCCCATCACCACCGCTGAACAATTCTGACCTCTGAAGTTTCTCTAGAACAAAGTATAACACACTCTAAATGACTCTGTTTACATATTAACAATTTGATAAAGCAGAAATCAATTAAAATTTAAAAATGAAATAGCTCTTTAATTGCATAACTCCTATTGGTGTGAAAGAACTCCACTTTTTATAATGGCCTCATTTGTGTGGACTTTGTCACCTTCCACGGTGGATGTAACACTGCCTCCCCCTTTATCTACTAGCTGGACTGATGATTTTAAAGGTAAAAATATTAACATATTGCTAATGACTATTGTTGGAAAGTGAGATGCTATTACAGTCTAGAGAATAGCTGAAATCTGTTACTCACTATTTATAATACAATAGTCTTTGTTAACGTGCTGTTTTCAACAATACATTATCCACTGCTACATGATCCTGTTCAGTCTGCTTAATATCCTCTTCTACATCACAGGTACCAACTGAAGTCAAAAGAATGAACGCAGGCACATGAATTAAGCCTATACTGACAAAGTAACGACACCATGATGACAGTGAATACCATTCTATATCATACCGTTCATTTCCTCGATGCTGCCCACCTGTCTTGGAGACTAGACGATTTGGTGTAAGCCTCTAAAGCTAGTTCATTGGAGACTGATCTGTACATAAAAAAACTGTTATTTAACAGTGTAGACACAGGCATGAATGGCAGTATAAAGCAGTGGTTTTCAAACTGGTCCTCAGGGCACCCAAGACAGTCCACATTTTTGCTCGAACCCAACTCCCAACATGTACAGCAAGAGAAAAATGTGGACCATCTGGAGGGCCCTGAGGATCAGCCTGAGAGGAATTGGTGATCGGTGTAAAGGGTCAACTCTTTGTATACAGTGCCTAGACTATAGACTGCCAGACTTTCAGAAAACTAAACATTGTTTTAATAGTCTTTCATATTTATCATAAAAGAGTCACATCAAACTCTGGCATACAAATTACAGCATTTACAGCATCTTTTATGCATGGTTTACCTTTTATTTATCGTGTTTTTCACCAATACATAATTTAACTTCTTTATTTTTTCATACAGTGCACAATATGATGGGCAACAGTCACAGACTGAACACATCTAATAATAATGTGGTTCAAAGTTATTTAAACATTTTAAGATTATTTTCTTAGTAGCTAAAATTTAACAACGAGGGGGAACACAATGGGGCAAAAATGGCGAACTAAATAAGACGAACTAAAGTACAAAATGATTTAGTGTGAGGAGTTGTCTTCGAGTATAACACTGAAAATTTCCAAAACACATCATATGTTGTCAGCAATGCGATGACACAGACCCTGTGCACATACTGCTGGGTGTAGTTCAGCTTCAACATTGAGTTTTCTTAATAAGACCTCCTTCTGAGCCCTGTGTCCACTTATGAAAACACATAAACAAAACTAAACGAAGTCCTGGGCTTCTACTTTCACAGCTAGCGTTACCTAAGTTAGCTAAACTAGCCAGCTGTATTGACAGGTGACGCTCAGCCAGGCTTTCAGACACACACACGGCAGACGCTATACTAGTACAGCTAGAAAGCCAATACACAAACCAGATTAAATACAGAATTACTCACCAAGGCCATCTGATTCGTGATCATTAACAGTTTGTACGATTCGCTTTCGTTTTTCAACCTCAATACCAAAGATATTCAATACGACCGAGAGGCTTCACTGTTGTGATTTACAACGATGCATTTAGCCGCTTTTCCGCTTAGCAGCAAAGTGACGCAAAACTGGACTTTCACTATGAATCAAACTTGATTATGGCTAGTTTGTTATAGTTTGCTATACTGTGTATCCAACGATTTCATTTAGTAAGAGAAACGACAGTGTTCTCGCTGTTGCATACCACTGTTTCCAAATGTGCTGGAACTTTTTATTTGGGCCGTTGTTTCCTCAGTGCGTTCACGCAGACGGATAATTCCTGTCGTCACGTCAGTTAAGAGCCGCACCAAGTTTATGAGGAGCCTGGCCGCTTTCTGTTCCCCCATTATAGGACTGCTGAACAGCAGAGGGCGCCCGCGAGGGAGTCCTCAATGAATGGGAGAAAATGGAGCTCAACGGCTAAAAACGAAAAATTAAAATAGTTTCTAATCAATCGCCTAGAACGTCTCTTTAGTTTTAAAAAGTAGAAGGATGTGTTTCACTAAAACGCAAAGAAAACGTACCTATATATTTTCTTTTTTCTACAGCAAACGGGTTTTGGGCAGCAGAAAAGCGGGCATTACTGCTACTGAGTGCTGATTGGTTGGCGAGTGAAGCAGCTCATTGGCTGTTCACGCTCACAGACGTCATGGACCATAGATACTATTCAGTGTTCAAGAAATGATTGCATTCTTTTAGATTAAAAATGTTTAAGCATTTACAAACTATGATTTTTGTTCAAGTGCTCCATATTAAACCACTCATTATGGGCTCGCTCGGGAGCGCCCTCTAGCGTTTGAGAAACCCAGAAGACGTTGCAGAGTGGTAATTCTCCTCTCTATTAGTTTTCTGGCCCCACTTCCTAGGAATGGGCGATTATGAAGACAATTTTGTGCAAAAGGTTTAACATAAAATAATAACATTCATACACACACACATTTTCCAAACCGCATACGCTGAGAAGAACCGATTCACTGGAGAAGACCATTATGCACAGAACACGACCAGTAACAAGATCGATGGATACAATCAGAGGAATCACGAACAAGCCATCATAAAATCTGCCACACCTGCTCCAGCTAATTGACCTCTTCCCCAGTCCCCGATTGGCTGGATCAGATGTATTGGACTTAAGTAAGGGGGAGGAGCAGCTTATTAGCTACAGGTTCGAACTAAACGCTGCAGGAAAGTTGATCTCCAGGAGGTCTGGTGACCACTGCTCTAGAGAAACATTACCCCTTTTAAAAAAATTTTCTCTATTAAAAAAAAACAAATTGACTGCTGTTCTAGGTTATTAGCCCTGTGTGTAGGTTTATGCATCATCATCCTGTATATGTACTAAATGGGCATTGTTTATGAGAAGGGCATCTCCCATCTCCCTCTATTAACTGACCATGCTGTGTTTTGCATTTATTCTTTTCAGGTAACTGGTAAGGATTAATTTATTTCAGTGACATTTACTTGGAGTTCAAAATGTTTATTACTTAAGTTAATCAAGTTATCTCTCTATGTTTTGTGTTCATTTATGAAGAGCCTTGTCAACTCTATATAAAAGACAGAAATGTCAAATTACCCAAACTATCTGAAGAGAGACAACATATTTGCTGTTTGTAACAGGTAAATTTATTTTCATGTGACAATTTTTTAGTAGACGTGCAGGAAACTGACATTGAATGTCTGGTCTTAGATTAAGTGCAGTGTTATACTGATGGATGGTGTATCATAAAACTGTCATTCTCTGACAAAATGTCAAATTGAAACCTTCAAATAACATGAAATTTATTTGCTTTGAACACAGATGAGGTGAGATTCTATGGAAAAAACACTAAGCCCAGCTTTACTGCAGAGTAAGCCTGTAAATAAGGGGTTTAGTATATTTAGGCACTTGCTAGTGATATAGTTTGGCTGGATCAACAAACTTGAAACAAGAGTCTTCAGATTTCCAGGCATACTGTTGAACACTGCTGGTTGAGGTGAACTAAACCTCAAATGAGCTTTACTGTAGATCTGCGGGAACATCACATTGACGCAGGGAGTGCTATGTCTTCATTTCATCGTTTAAAAGAGGCTCTCTACGTCCCCCATTTCCACAACGACAGTTTTCAGCTGAGAGTAGTATTCTATGGTCACCACCCCATTCTCTCTTCCAAAACCTGGAGAAGGTAAAAATAATGTTATTAATTGCTGTGGCTTCATGGACAATTTATTAAGTAATATTTAGGACATATTTCTGTATACAAAATGAGAATGTTTCAGTGAAGATTTATTTGCTGTCAAACACTATGAGTCAACTAAAGGAAAAGCATGCCGAACATACAAAATTTTCCCCTTATCCCAAACGTATTTGACTGGCTAAGACACGTTTGCTGTCTAAAGTTTGCTTCTTTAGTTCTCAAGAGGTGCTACAAGGCAGATTTTGAAAAATTTTGAGTGACACAGACTCTCATTACTTCATAGCAGTATTAGCTTTGTAACTCCCGTGCAAAACTAAAGAATGAGACTGTGGAAATCAAACATGTTTGGGCAAGGAGGGAAAACTGCTTAAATGCAATTTCTCAGTCAATTATTCCTTCAACTCTGTGTAACTCCAGCTATACCTGACATTTTGTAGCCTCCAAATGGGACCTCCACTGGACTGACATTGTAGTTATTGATAAAGCAGGTTCCTGCTTGAAGATTTTCAGCCACTCTGTGGGCTCGAGCTATGTCCCTGCACAGAAGTGGGCCAATGAGTTGAAAGTCAGAAAGTGCTATAATGAAAAGTTATTACATTGTTAATGGTAACATCTGAAGGTGATCATAGTTATTTTACCTGGTGAAGACTCCAGAAGCCAGGCCGAAAGTTGTGTTGTTAGCTCTTTGCAGAACCTCCTCCTCTGTGTCAAAGGGCAAAATGGACATCACAGGTCCAAAGATCTCCTCCTTTACACAAGTCATATCATCCCTGCAGTTATCTGTGTGTGATGAAAGGTTATATTACTGTCGTTCATGTTCATAACCTTCACAAAAATGAATCAGACACATTACCTCACAGTTTCAGAATGAAAACTGTGCAATAAAAATATTTTTTGATCCACCTTTGATCTACTTTTTTGAACTGGGTTGTGTAACAATGTCTGGCACAGTAAATTGCCTCTTAGGAAATGATTTGGAAGTGAACCTGAAGTTTGCTTTGGCTGGAGAGGGGGAACAGCATGCAAGGGTTTTAATTTTATATGCAATAAATGATTCTGCTCAAGCGCTCAAACACTGAATGAAGTGTTTACATCCATAGACTGACAAATATGAAAAGCAATCACTAAATTGTCATAGCAACTAGGGGTGCATAGATCATTCATTTTTATAGCCAATTTCTTTACAGCCAAATTGATTTTAATTTGCCTTGTGTTTTCAACCTGAAGCACAGTAGCACATTTCCAATACTTTTAGCCAAAGTTGCAAAATAAATAACATTATGTGCCCAATCAGTGGGGCAAACTGGCATTTTAAATTCTTAAATAAGAAATACATGAACCAAATAGAATACAAAGTTAGAAGCATCTGGCTATTTAGCACAATAAGGCTTGCATATTTATGCTACAACATTTTCTTATAGCTGCAGCAGCAGCACTCAAATACAGCACAAGTGCATGTACCTGCCTCACATTATTTACATCATAAAACCGCAACTGCAAACTGTGTTTGAGATCGTGAGGAGCAAAGAAATGCAACCAATTTCTAAGACTGAACTTTGGAGGTTTGGAAAAATATCCCTGCAAATGTATTTGGAACCCTGAAGGTCTCCCAAGTAGAATGAAAGCCATAAAAAATGTAAAGATTGTACACACAAAATGTTGTAATAATTAGTATTATATTTAGTTGCTGGTGCTTCTCTGTAATTTTCTATTAAATATCTTTTCTGCTTTCCCCTGATGCAGTAAAAATGAATACTTTGTACTTAATGGTTGTTTTGACTAGAAATGTAATAAAAGAGTGGTCTCTGATTTTTGCACAGTGCTGTAGATCAGCCAAAATCAAAATAATAAACTGTTTGGTTGCTCGCTTGGAGAAACATGGAAAAAAATTAGCCAGCCTCGTCTGGTCTGAGCCCCCACATACATGTCCAATGCAAAGCACTATTTAAATCACTGTAATTCTTTTACAATAAGGTTTACCATTGTTAAACTACAGGTTGGCATTTACTAACCCAGCACACAAGGGGACACATAGTAGCCTCCTTTCAGTTTGGGGTCACTAGGAACAAACGGCTCTCCTCCACAAAGCACCTTGGCACCCTAAAACAAAATGACATGTAAGGTTTAATTTAATAATGTGAAGGGAAAACACTTTTTCAAAGGTAATACCATTATAATAAAAGGCACTTAAGGGCCCCATGTGGAAAATAAAGAACTGAGGCTGAGTTACTCAGTGTTAAGGATGTATAGCAGTACCTGTAGCTGAGCTTGATTAATAAAGCCCAGCACTTTCTCCATGTGGGGTTTGCTGATCAGGGCACCCATCCGTGTCCCCTCCAACAAAGGATCTCCAACAACAATGGCCTTGGTCCTCTTCACCACCTCCTCCACAAATGGCTTCATAATCTCCCTCTGCACGAACACTCGTGTCCCATTGCAACACACCTGCATCAAGCAGAGCATGGTTATGGCACTGTGTCAAGACCTTTATCTGTTGAAGGCACTTTTAAAATGTTCCTATTTAAAATGTTTACTTAAAAGATATTAGCTTCCTCTTCAGCACTCACAGTAATAAAGTACTGTCAACATAGATATGTTTTAGAACAGTACTAAAACATGCAAATAAACCACTAAATATAATCAAACTACACAATATGAATAACAGATGGTATCCACTGTAATAAAACTATGATAAAGTACAGGTAACATGGCTTCAATGCATACATATCAACACAAAATAATACCACAGGGAAAAAAACACTAGCGAAAATACAGTAGTATGGAAACTCAAGTAGGAACCTAATAATGAGCTAATGCAAACATGCTGCTGCTTTAACTATAAGATTAAGCAGATGAATGCCAAATCCGATCTCATGACAACACATCTTGTGATGTATGAATGATGTTAACTTATTGGACATTTTAAAGCAAGTAAATCTTGATTGCAAACCTCCCCCTGGGTGAGAAAGTTAGCCATGAGTGCCCCTTTGACTGCATTCTCCAGCTCACAGTCCTTAAAGATGATAAGTGGTGATTTTCCTCCCAGCTCCAGAGTCACCTGCTTCACACCTTTGGCTGACATCTCCATCACCTTACAGGGAGAGTATACATATCAATATTATACAATGGACAACTGGATAGAAAAACGTTCTAACAGTTTTTATGAATTATTTACATAATTCAGAGTAAATATTTATGTAAAACATGGGAACAGCAGCACATGACTGAATTTGAATAGAAAATGTGCAGCATAGCTACTCAAATTGAATGTAACTGAAATTGAATTGCTCTATTCTTTCCATGTATATAACACAAACCCCACTTCCAGAAAAGGTGGGACATTTTGCAAAATGCAGATAAAACAAAAATCTATGATTTGTTAATTCTCTTGAACCTTTATTTAACTGACAAAAATACAAAGAAAAAGAAAAGACTTTTAATGTTTTGGCTGACCAACTCGATTGTATTTTGTTAATATAAACAAATTTTGAATTTGACGCCTGCGACACACTCCAAAAAGTTGGGGCAGGGGCAAAGTAAAGAGTGAAAAGTTCGCAGAAAATTCAAGTCACACTGTTTTGAAACATTGAACAATAAGCAGGTGTTGGGAACAGGTGAGGGTATCATGGTAGGGTATAAAAGGAACACCCACTAAAAGACTCAGTCTTTGCAAGCAAGATAGGTCGTGGCTCATCATTCTTGAACTTTATGAAAGAATTGTCAAACAGCTCAAAACAAACATTTCTCAATGAAAGACTGCAACGAATTAAGATCTTTCATCATCTACCTTTCATAATATTGTGAAATGATGCAGGGAATCCAGAGAAATCTTAGTCAGTGTAGGGCAAGCACTGTTGAATGTGCATGACTTTCGAGCCCTCAGATGACAATATATAAGAAATCGTCATGCTACCATGTTATATATAGGCGTGGGAGTACTTTGGAAAAACAGTGTCACTTTTTTCCGCCATGGCATCAAGGAATGCAACTATCACACAAGGACAAAGCCATACATTAATTCTATCCAAGAACGCCACAGAGTTCTCTGGGCACAAACTCAGATGGCCCAAAAGACAGTGAAAATGTGTGCTGCAGTCAGATGAATCCACGTTTCAGCTTTTTTTTTAGAAAAACGGACATCGAGCTCTCCATGCCAAAGATGAAGGGGACCATCTAGACTTTTATCAGCGAAAGGTGCAAAAGCCAACATCTGTCATGATATGGACGTGCATCAGTGCCCAAAGTATTAATGACTTGCATATGTGTGAAAGTACCTTTGACGAAAGGTTCAAGAAAATTAATAAATCACAGATTCTTGTTTTTATTGCTTTTTTTATGAAATGCCCTAACTTTTCCAGAAATGGGGTTTGTTTCCCTATGTGGCCAGTGTATCTGACATTCTTACAACAGGTGATCTTTCAAAGAAATTCAAATATCATAAATTCGTCTGAAATTATGTGTTCTTTAAAAAAGTTTGAATGCTTAGAAAAAAGGTATTTAATCAAGTATGTTGATGCGGACATAACTTATAACTGCCCAGTGTTGGACTTGCCCAGGCCTTGGTTTGAGAATGATCAATGTTCACAGATGTTCACTTATAATCTCTTCTAATACACCAAAACAGCTTTCTCAAGGACTAAACCATTGGATTTTGCCAATTTACCTTCTTGCCAGTAGGCACGCTGCCAGTGAAGGACACTTTGGCCACCATAGGGTGGTGGCACAGCAGCGTTCCAGTCTCAGCTCCTCCCTGCACCACATTAAACAGCCCATCTGGTACTCCAGCCTCCTTATAGATCTCCGCCAAAATGACTGCTGTCAGTGGAGTCATGGGAGAGGGCTTAAACACCATGGCATTACCTAAAACAGAGAAGATATTGAGAGATAAAGGGAGTTAGCCCCAATTCCAGAGTGCAACAAAGGCACCGTCTTGCATAACCAAGTGCAGCTGCAGCAGAACGAATGCAATCCAGCCATAAATCACACTGTTCACATACCACAGGCAAATGCTGGGGCTGACTTCCATGCAGCAATCTGGAAAGGGTAGTTCCAGGCTCCAATTCCTACACACACGCCCAATGGCTCTCTGCGAGTGTAGGCAAAAGAGCCTCCAGGCAGCTGGATGTGCTGGCCTGAAGACAAAAAAGAAAACCACGATCAACTATGCACAGACAAATTTTGCATGTATATTCAAAATCCATGAAAATGAACGTGCAATATGGAGGCAGATTTATAAATAAACACATTTTACTAAGTGGGTGAGCACTCTAGTACTGCTAATTAGATTGAGCCTACCTGCTAGAGTGGGAGCAATGCCAGCATAATATTCAATACACTGCCAGGCTACATCAATGTCCACCTCAGCTTCAGTGATGGACTTGCCATTGTTGATCACTTCCAGTCTAGCTATGTCATCTCTGCGCTCCTGTGAATGATATGTAATGAGATCTACAGTACATTTTGATACGACTCATCTTCATCTGCTATCCGATCATACGCTATCCAACTATTTTATTAATTTAAATGGATTTTTAGTAAAATCTTCATATTTAAAAGGGAATTCCACTGAATAAAAAAAATTGTATACATAATTACATTCATAATAATAATAATAATAATAAGGCCTTAAAAACTAGCAGCAGAACTTTAAAATCTATCCTGAACGATACAAGTAGCCAGTGCAGTTCTTTTAAAATGGAAGTGATATGATCTCTCTTTTTCGTTTTTGTTGGGATGTGTGCTGCTGCATTTTATGACGTAAACAAAATTGTTTAGAGTGGCTTGGTGTGAAATTCTCTGTTCTAAAGAAACTTCCTAAGTCAGAATTATTCACAGTGGGGTGATAGGAACTAGACATTTGAAGTGTTCAATGCCTCTAAAATCTCTCACAGAAAGTTACAATATGAAATGGTTACAGATACGTTGTCTATTAGATAGTCTGGATAGTGAATAAAATGGCTATATTTATGATGCCACTGGTTCCTATTAGCATCACTGTAAAGAAATTCATAGACAATAAGTTTCTCTACTGCAAACCATTTCACATCAAACTCCCCTCAATGACAATTTACACCTCAAGGACAGAATTATGCAGAAATGTTTAAAAACCTGTGGAATTTCACCAAATTCTTATTATAGTAAGGTAAGTCTGTAAATGTTTTCATGTAAATTCTTATTACCGTAAGTCTGTAAATGTGTTTCATGTAATTTTTTATTTTTATAATCTGTGTACTGTTGTTAAACCAAGACGTTTAGAGCTAATGATTAAAACAAAATGCAGTATTTTGCAATTACATCTTATTACTGCAACACAGTGACAGTCATTGAGTTTCTTCTATTTACTTGTGTCATATAACAATTGTTTTGGTTCACTTTCTCAAATAAAGAGAACAGGCAATTTTTTTTTTCAAACTAATTTTTTCTAATTAGACTTGCGTGAACATTATGTGTGAGAAAGCATGAGAATTATGGTTATAAAAATGTATAGGATAAATTAATGATATAACTTTTTGCTCCATCATAAAGAACTTTACTTGACAGACTACATTATATTATTCTACACAGTATATTACAGACTATATCATATGCTGATCTGTGTGATGACTGTGATACTTAAAAAGTTACAAACATGGCTTGAGGCTGTATTGTAAGAATGAGAGTGAGGACCATTTCTAATGAAAATAACCCACTGTCATTCCAGACACTACAGATATTCATTTGAGAATATTTGGCCTGTAAAATATTTCAGTGATTTCACATGTTTAACATGGCAAGACCTTTGTTTGTTATATATTACATAACTCCTGCTCTCAGCTAAAAGGGCACCTTTGAAAACAGAACAGCTGATTTTGGTTGTGTTCATTTGTCTAATTGTCTTTACATCCAATGAATACTTGAATATAAAGTGCTAAACTGGTGTCTTTGACTTCATGCATAGCTTAAATATGCATTCAAATATGCTTTTCACATCGGTGATCTCTCTTGGTCATGATTCCCTTGAATTCCATTGTGTGTGCCGTTACCCTAATGATACGAGCAGCCTCCAGCATGATCCGAGCTCTCTCCAAACCAGACAATTTACTCCATTTCAGGTAGGCAGAGTGTGCACTCTTTATGGCCTCGTCTACCTCCACCTCCCCACAGGGAATCATGTCACACAGCACACGGCCTAGTGAAAGCAAAGTGTTATTCATGTACACAATCACTAGACCAGGGGTGCACAACTCTGTCCAGCACAGTTTGATAAATTCCCTACTCTAGCACACCCACTAAACCTGACAGTTAACAGATGAGTGTAGTCAGGTGTATATGAACAGGTAAATCACTAAACTGTGCTGAACACCAACCCCCCAGGTCCAGAGTTGCGCAAGCCTGCACTAGACAAAAAGTTTGAACTCTTCAATGTGTTTATGGACTTGACTCAGCATTTAGAAAGCTATTGGGTTTGCCAGAACACATTCATTGTACATGACCTAGATAAAAGTTAATAAGTGACAACTGAGTTGCACAACACACTACACCTGGGGCAGTAAATCAGACTGAATAAAACTCTTACCTGTTGCAGGTTCGTAGACTGGCTCAGCATTCTTCGTATCTTTGGGCTGGACTCTTGCTCCGCCCCAAAAATTCAAGGCCTCTTTGACCACCAGAGTTCCAGTGGACACGTTGCGAAAACTCGGGATGCGAAAGGATGGGTTGCTGAGCCATGATAATCTGCTTATGTTCACAGATCAAATAAACGCACGTGGGTAACTGACAGAAAATGAAGCGTTCATTATGCTTATACCTGTTGCACTAAAACTTTGAGGCTTATATAACAGAAGTCTAGGTCAAAAAGACATCGGGTTTTTAGCTCTATTAACCTTGTTGCTCCAGCGCAGAACTAGAAAAGTAAACTTTGGACAAGTGGAAATGCTTGGGTTAAGGGTAAAACTTTGTAAATTACATTTTTCGATGTTCTTTAAATCTAGCGTAGTTGCGCGTTGCATTGCATTGCACTGACTATCCAGATAAAGTTGGGCATGTGAGGCTTCAAAACCCAGGTTGCTGTTAAAAGACGACAAACACGAGAGACACACCAGCGATAGCGACTATGTCACATGCATCTATATGACGACCAGCTATATCCAAATACACTTCAAGTTTAGACGCAGCAATAGGCTAATTCGACATATCCCGCTATTTGTTATCAGTTGCATTCATTCAGCGGTTTAAATTCGTATTCAATCATACTGTTACCTCCAAGTGAGAGACTTGCTGAGTTGCTGGACGACGCTTTGCAGGACTAGGGCTGCCTCCACCTCCTCGAGCTGAGAGCGGAATGGAGGGCGTCAGAGAAACCACCCAGATAGCAGAATTCCGTGACCGTAGAGGGCGCTACTTTGCAGTTTCTGTACATATGCACGAGCGCTTTACGCAGACTACGTAAGCTACGCCGACGCGCTTTTATTTCTTGTTCTGCTGCGTTCAGCAAGTCCAACGATGAGAAATGCGTGTCTTTTCACGTTACGTACCATCCATTCACATGTTCAGCCAAAAAAGCCTTCAGCTCTGAAATGGAAAGATGGGTCCTGGCATAGGGGTCACTAATTCTGACAGCTGTTTATACTTTGTGGCTGCACTGCATCTACACACAAATAAAAATGTGAAAAAGCAACCAAATCTTTTTAGGTGACTAAGCATTGCTTCCTCTTTTCAGCCAAAAAAGCTTTATTGACTGAAATGGACAGTTAAGTGGATGTCAGAATACGTGATTGCACTGAATCTCTATAAAAATAAAGTCCAATCAAATCTTTTCAGGTGACTTACCATGTCTTCACTTTTTCAGCCAAATAAAACCTTCATGTCTGGATTGGACAGATGGGCCTTGGCATAGGGGTAACCAGTTTTGACAGCTGCTATTAGAATATGTGACTGCACTGCACGTCCAGATAAAGTCAATTAAAGTCCGAAGAAATCTTTTCAGGTAACTTACCATTCCTTCCTTTCTGCTAAAAATAATGACTAGAGTGGGTAGATGGGTCTTGGCATAGGGGTCACTGACTCTGGCTGCTGCAATCAGAAGCTGTGCCTCTGATGAATCCCCACAAAAACATTAAAAGATTAACTTCAGATAACTTACAAATTTTCACATATTTAAAAAAGCATTAATCACTAGAATGTATAGACAAACACTGATAAGGGGATCATCATAATACTCCAATGCAGCTCCACTAAAAATAGTGAGACACTAATTTAAAATAATTCTTTACTTTTTAAGTCATATGGCCTAAAAAAAGAAAGAAAGAAAACAGTGTGAATATGAATTTACATCACTTATGATTTTCTATCATGTCCGATATTGTCTGGTTAAAATTTAAATCTAAAGTAAATAAAATCAAAGTGCCTTACCTCATTTTCAAGCTATCGATTGGGTGCTAGCTTTGCAATATCCCAATAAAACATTTTATATAGTCCCATTTTAGGCAGAAGAACATGATTTTTTTTTCCTCTCCAGGTCTCTTTCAGATCTAAAGAAACACAATTTAAAAAAAACAGTACATAGCACTTTAAGTAAACTTTAAGCATATAAAATATAGCTTTGAGTATTGTGTTATCCTAGATTTTATGCTATTTTACTTAAGATGTCATAAGATGGTCTAATGAAAGTGTTCAATGCAAAGTAAAACACTGAACTCAAAGACATGAATCTAATTTTGAGTGTAGTTTACCCATTTTTAGCTATATTTCTGGTTCGTATGTCGACTGTTTCAATGAAGTTGTTAATGCCTACATAGATTTTTCTGAAAAGGAGAAAGCTGTTGGAGCAAAGGAGATGCCAGTAGGTGGAGAGGAGATTCCAACAGGAAAAGAGGAGGTGACAGTGGCTGGTGGAGAGGAAGTGACAGCAGGTTGAGAGGAGGTGACAGTGGCTGGTGGAGAGGAGGTGACAGCAGTTTGAGAGGAGGTGACAGTGGCTGGTGGAGAGGAGGTGACAGTGGTTGGAGGAGTGAAGGTGATGGGGGAGAGGAAGTAACAGTGACTGGGGACTGTGGGGGAGGAGAGATACTGCAGACTTCAGGATGCCCTTTCCACTTTTTGGGTATCCTTGGAGTCTGTTTGTGGCGCAGTTTTGATCAGTGTTGATCAAATTAGCCATCTCAGCTAAAGTTTTACGGATGGTGTTTTGACCATCCGTAAAAAAAGTCATTTTGTTTACTGTATACAGTCCATTATGGGCTCAGCACAGTGTATAAGCAAGAGAGCATAATAGGAGTGATGTGGAAGAGAACATATGGCCAAATGATGAGGACCAGGTACAGAAAGCATCTGTGACTTACATTTTTTTTTCTGCTAGATAATGTAAAGTACTGGATTTTTCAGTTTCTAGTACTTCATTTGTTCCTATACACTTTAAAAAATTGCAGATCAATGTAAAAATTATATCTTCTAACAAGCAATTGAACCAGTTTTATTTAACTCAAAAATACTTGGAAGGAATGAATCGTTATTCAAAGTACTTATTTAGGTTGAATAAAACTAGTTAATGCACTTGTTACACTGTTAGAAATAAGGGTACAGTGCAGGTACATTTTTCACTCATCAAGGTACAAACAATGTAAATGTACCTTCAAAGGTTCAACAGTGGTTTTAAGGTCTGATTATGTACCTTAAATAAGTTTTTTCCAGGTGAAAAGTACGTATTTGTAACTTTTCATAACCTAATGTTTTAAAACAGAACAACAAAATAAAAATCCTGGAGACGTGACAGAGTGTGTGGAGTCAGTACAGCTTAAAAATATTATTTCAGTGGACTATGGTACAATTATGTTCCCTAACTAAAGGCACTGAGATGTCCCCTTGAGGTACCACCCCAGTGACAAGAGGGGTACTGTCCCAGAGACAGTTTGGTACCTTTATTTCTAAGAGTGTACCACATGAGGTATTTTTTTAGGTTGAATTAACAAGCTATTTTTTATAATGTACAATCAGATACACAGTTCTGTTTTGATTTTTTTTTCTGATGCAATGAAGTTTTTTCCATGAACTGTAAAAAAAGGTTTGTCAGTTCAATCTTAAAAGTATTTTAAGTGATAACTAGTAATTTAACAAGTTTCATTAAAATCAAAAATACTTTCAATGAAACAACACAAAACAAAAGCTTAGAAATCAATATTTTACCTTAGTTCTACAATTACAGACTGTAGTCCATCTGTTTCTCTACATACTTTTTTAGCCCCCTTCCACCCTGTTCTGCAATGGTCAGGAACCCCACAGGATGACAAGGGATTGTTTGGACGGTGGATCATTCTTAGCACTGCAGTGACACTGATGTAATGGTGGTGTGTCAGTGTGTGTTGCGCTGGTACGAGTGGATCAGACACAGCACTGCTGCTGACTTTAAAATGTTAATGCTTAAACCAACACAAGTTAGTGGAAAAAATTAAAGAGCAGTTCAATGTATTTCCCCTAACTAATGAAAATGATAAAAAGATGAAAATCTTGTAAAGGGACATCTTACCCGGATTCACTACATTAAACACGATTATATAGCAGAATTTAAACTAAAAGTTATTAATCAATTTATATGTGAATGATATCACATTTCAATCAGCTGTAAAAAGAATTACACAAATGACAGTAAAATATTAATAATAATAATAAAATTCAGTCACTTGAAAATGTTAGGTTGGCCGTTTATGGAGATGTAGTGCACTCACATATTCTGACGGAAGGGATGCCAAGTCACTTTAAAGAAATATCTTTTAATGGAAAAATCTTTTTAGCATTTTGTGGAGGTGCAGTGGGGTCACATTCTGACTGTAGCTGTGACAACTGATGACTCTTGTGCCAGGGCTTATGTTTGACAACCCAGCCATACGTTATTCTCATTTAATGCCAACGTTCATAACTAGGGTTTAAAGATAGGAGTAGATCAATTAAGTAGATAAGTAGATCTGACTAGACACTTTTTACAGCGCAGGAGACTAACCATCTGTCATCATTTTACCAAAAACAATTATGACCACCATACCAATTAAGCCCGACTACGGGTAGCATCAAATGGTACAAATGGAACTTTACAATACCTCTATTTATTGAAGGATCATGTTTCATGGACAAACTTATCATTCTGACTGTTACTCGATGCTTTTATTGTGCGTGTGGGGGTATTAATTTGTGTATTAATGTTTTATTGTGCCTGGCGTTTTGCTTTCTTCATGCAAAAAAGCTTGCTGGCGTAGATATTGTCTAACTTTCCTCATATGACGTTTACATATGTAGAAAATGTGTAATGAAACATTCATGTCCAAGCATGTGTATGAAATTAATAGACAGCATGAAATTTATACACACGCATTTCTCATCGTTAAACTTGCTGAACGCAGCAGAACGAGAAATGGAATCGCGTCGGCGTAGCTTACGTAGTCTGCGTAAAGTGCCCGTGCATGTGAATAGAAACTGTGAAAGAGCGCCCTCTACGGTCACCCAATTCGATGGTCACAGAATTGTGTGCAATACCTGATCTGCGCAACAATCGCCTCCGGCTCTAATGAGAATTCGATTCGCGAGTCGGTTCTCTGTGACATCAGCACTGATTCACAGCCGCATCTTGCACAGAGGAGAACGTTCCATTTGAAATTTGAATTTCTTCGGTTTAACTGTCGCCACTCCTGACGGTTTACAGTCGTCTTTGGCGAGTATTACTTATTTTATTTATATATATAATTAA